GTGTGATGGGTCTGTGTGTGTGTGATGGGTCTGTGCGTGTGTGATGGGTCTGTGTGTGTGTGTGATGAGTTTGTGCATGTGTGATGGGTCTGTGCGTGTGTGATGGGTCTGTGCGTGTGTGATGGGTCTGTGCGTGTGTGATGGGTCTGTGCGTGTGTGATGGGTCTGTGCGTGTGTGATGGGTCTGTGCGTGTGTGATGGGTCTGTGCGTGTGTGTGATGGGGGTGTGTGTGTGTGATGGGTGTGTGTGTGTGTGTGGTGGGGGGGTGTGTGTGTGATGGGTCTGTGCGTGTGTGTGATGGGTGTGGGTGTGTGTGATGGGTCTGTGCGTGTGTGTGATGGGTCTGTGTGTGTGCGATGGGTCTGTGTGTGTGATGGGGGGGTGTGTGTGTGATGGTCTGTGCGTGTGTGATGCGTCTGTGTGTGTGTGATGGGGGTGTGTGTGTGCGATGGGTCTGCGCATGTGTGCAATGGGTCTGTGTGTGTGTGATGGGTCTGTGTGTGTGCGTGCTGTGGGTGTGTGTGTGCGATGGGTCTGTGCATGTGTGATGGGTTTATGCATGTGTGCGATGGGTCTGCACATGTGTGCAATGGGTCTGTGCACGTGTGATGGGTCTGTGCATGTGTGTGATGGGTCTGTGTGTGTGTGATGGATCTGTGTGTGTGCGCGATGGGTTTGTGGGTGTGCGATGGGTTTGCGCATGTGTGTGCTATAGGTTTGTGTGGGGGTGTGATGGGTTTGTGTGATGGGTTTGTGGGTGTGCAGTGGGTTTACGGGTGTGCGATGGGTCTCTGCACGTGTGTGATTGCTCTGTGTCCGTGTGCAATGGGTGTGTACGATGGGGGTGTGTGTGTGCACCACGGCTTTGTGTGGGTGTACAGTGGGTCTGTGGGTGTGCGCGATGGATCTGTGGGTGTGCAGTGGGTCTGTGTGCGTGTGTGATGGGTTTGTGTGTGTGCGATGGGTCTGTGGGTGTGCAGTGGGTCTGTGTGCGTGTGTGATGGGTTTGTGTGTGCGCGATGGGCTTGTGGGTGTGTGCGATGGATCTGCGCATGCGCGCAACAGGTTTGTCCATGTGCAATGGGTCTGTGGGCGCGCGATGGATCTGTGCACGTGTGTGATGGGTTTAACAGGCGGTTGGACGCGGGGTACCGGGAAGGCGGCAAAGGAGCCCGGCACGAGGCGGGGGCTCCCCGGCACACGGCCGGTGCCACACCGGGGGTCCGGCCCCCATCACCCAGAGCTCTCCCCGGGGACAGCGGCTCCCTCCCTGGCTCTCCCCCTCCGCAGCCTTCCCGCTCTCCCCGACTTCTTTACACATCAGCAAAAAAAGCGAGCAAAATAGCAAAGGCTTGAATGAATTTTTTCATCAGTTTTCTTCAACATTTGGGGTCTCTGCTGCCGCTTTCTCCCCCGACAGCTGTTCCTCTCCGCTGAAAAAGAGCTCATTTGTGGTTTACTGCCACCGGTATTTAGATGGAAATAACCCACTACTTATCCTGCACTTGATCTCATGGATATAAGAATAAACTCACCACCGGTGCCATGCAAATCCCGCGCCTTTGGAGAGGAGATGCTCAGACAGTCGGTGCTCGCCGCTGTACCGGGAGGAGGACCGGCTGCGCCGGGGGAGTTTTACCATTTTGTCAGTCAATTATAATAATATTTCTGCTTCCAAATGTTTAAAAAGTTGGCTTCGGAAGGTATAATCATGGCACAGAGGCCAGCCTGACAATAGTAATTAATTAGGCTATTACGCATTCTACAGTGATAATTGCTTTGCTGGAAAGTCACCAGCCATGAAAAGGACCCGGCGCGTAAATGTAATTCATCACGCGGCGGCGATCCCGCGCCGCTGCCGTGCCTCACCTTGAGCCCGTGGATGCTGCGGAGGGAGATGGAGGGGGGTGGAAATAGAAATTAATAGTACGTCGATATATAATGCGGAGGCAGAGCTCGCCGCCAGCCGCCAAGGGCTTTGCGGGCGGAGGGAGAGCGGTTGGCGGTGGATTTGCCGGTGCCGATGGGCAGCGCGGTGATGAGGGGAGCGGGGATGACACCATCCCGATCCCACCGAGCTGGGGCTGCTTGCGGGGACATTCCGCTCCCCCATTTTTAGCAATTTTCTCCTCTTTTTAGCAAGGCGCGGGTGACATCACCCTCTCAGATGGGGACACGGGGTTTGGCCCAGCTTCTGCCCCGAAGGAGCAAACATTTAGGGTTTTTTTCTACAAACCCTTGATTTTAGGGCTGACGTCAGCTTTTTCCGGGTGTTTATGCAGCTTTACGTGAGGAGTAACAGCAGTTTCATGGTTGGGGTGAGCTGTGCTCGTACGGCACATGGAGCTGCTCCGTCAGGAATTACCCCTGGCATTTTGGCGAATGATCCCCATCCAGAAAAGGTCGCGGAAAATTTTAAAGATCTTTTTTTCACTGACATTTCCTTGAAGTTTAGTGGGACTCTGAAAGAGCAGAGCGGACACCTGGCTCGCCGTCCTGCCGATCACCTGCACCGGTGATGACCTGGTGCCGATGTGGGCTGAAATGTGCCGGCCCTGAGCCAGAACCCATCGTGGGGGGACGGGGCAGGAGCCGGGGCTGGTGAAATGTCCCCAGATGTCTCCTCACCAGCAAACTGCAGGTCCTGCGGCTCCAGTTAAGATGCTGATGGTACTTACTGGGTGGAAAGGTGTTACGCTGCGTCCTCGAGTGCTCCGTGGGAAGGTGGGCTGAGCGACAGGTCAACCCCTCGTATGAGCCAGGAGGAAACCTGGATCTATCCCCGGTGAGGCTGCGGCCGGTGGCCGTGGAGAGACGAGATCCACGGGACCGCGGTGTGGGGATGCTGCAGGCTCCTGCCCAGCCCAGAGCCACAACGTACCCCATGGGGGATGCTCAGATCTCCATCGGGATTGTCACAGGGAGAGGGAAAGGCCTTGAAGTTTTCACTTGAAAAACGCTTTGTCTTTATCATGTGACTTCAGGAATAAAACTCAGTGGAAACAGCCCGATTTGGGGGTCTGGGCCGGCTCCTCCTCGCTGGCACAGGTTGGGGGCAGGCATGGGCGGTGGAGGGGTGATGGAGAACACATTAGGGCTGGTTCCTTACTCTGCACCCTTTAGTTGACGCCGTCTCAAGGGTGATGAACCTCTCCAGAGCATCTCGAGCAGGTCCAGGCGTTCGCGGTGCCCCATGGCAGAGCCGTGCCGACGGGCTGTGCCCTCTCCCGCTCCTCCCCTGTGCGGAGTCGGAAGGCGGCGGGGGTCACGCAGGGCTGACGCCGTGGAGCACCCCAGCACCACCTGCCTTATGGACCCCCCCCTAGCAGGGCTCCCCCGTGACACCCCAACGCCGCGTGCCACCGGCGAGTTCGGCAGGCGCGACGC